CATTCGTATATGAAATCAGTTTCACCACAAATTACATATATTCTCAGCAACAAATTAAGTTAGTTTTGAATCCTCTTAGCTGGCGCTCGCCACCCTAATTGAGAATTAAGTTACAACTGCTTTGTGTAACTGCAGGCAGGCACTCTCAATTAATTTGGATCGTGAATGTAGAGCGTGCTCCATTCAAGTGTTTTAATTTGCCTCTTTATTGTCCTCAGGTTGAGCAACTGTTGCTGGATGTTCACTTGGAATACAACAGCCACCATGCTACTTTATGCAGCTCCTTGTTCCATTTTGAGTAGATTAGGCATTATAAAACGATGGAATCTAATCATGCAGTACATAGAGCACAGAAAGCACACATTAGTGTGGTTCATCACGTTTTGCAAAGTCATTATAATCTAAGTAATATATAACTTCTGATGATAGTGTTTACTTGTATGTATAAAAACTTGCACAAACCTCTTAAAATACTGAATTGCAACGTTGTATTACCGCTTAAGCTGGTTCAAACAGCATCTAGTCGAAATAATACGGACTATAGAAGAGAAGCGTCACTCCGTCGTTAAAACAGTTTTTGGCAAGGTGTCTGAAACGATATTTTGTTATCAAAACAGTTTCACCGTGGTGTCTGTGATATAGCAGGTAGTGAGGAGGAACGTAAGCTTCCAGGTAATGAAGGTCACCTGCAGTTAGTTGATCGCAGAACACTGCCAGAAGTGTTTCACGTGTCGCAAAACAAGCAGGAGTGGGGTACCGATATTTTGATGCTCCGCTAATGTAAAGTATTGTTATTCCAACATATTTGGAATTTGAGATATCGTCGCTCAAGTTCTACTATACCGTGATTGCTGAAACGTCATCAGTAGTCAGTATTTCAAGAATATGAAGTTTCATTTGCGGCCACACAAACATGGAGGATTATAAGCTTGTCATTCGATAGCAAATCCAAAGATCCACCGTTCCTTTTACTCTCATATAAAGTTGTTCGTTTTGAGTTACACTATGTTAGAACCCAAGCGACGCGAGGTGTTCTTTTTATTGAACGCTTGTGGTCTTGGTGTAGTTATTGGAGAATATACGTTTAACATTTTTGTATAATTTATGAGTTGGCAGTAACAAAAAGAAGACAATACCATACAAATTTGATATTTAGTTTTTTAGGGCGTTTCAAAATCGGTTGTAGATTGCTTGATGTGTTCCATTTTTTGTTTACTTGATTTTATACTCTTCTGTACGTTATTCATTTTCACTGAAACATACATACGAACCTTTGAAAAACAAAGTGATCCACACTGAAAAAGCTTTTAGGATGTAAGCATAAAGTTTGAATATTTCCAAACTTGTAATCATTCCAAGCATTGTTAGGATCCGTATAGGTTATCCCCAGTGAGTGGAACGCTAAAGCATCCACTTTGAAAATCACACCAAATTGGGAATTTAATTAAGCTTACACCTCATCAACAGCAATAGCAAGCCGCCACTATAGAAAATCTAACCAAGCCGTCTGCCCCTTTAGAATGCGGTTCTTTTTATCTACGTCTATAATTTATTGCTTCGACATTACCTTCCAGGATCAATCATGCTTTTTAGACCGTCTTCCGGGCTAATACAACGTTGCAATTCGGTATTTTTGGATGCGAGCAAACGTAAGAGGTATGTGAAACAATGAGCGATCATTTTTATACTAGTATGATGCTGTAGTTCGAACTCAAGCCATATATTTGAAAATTCCCAATGTTTTGCCAATCTTCTATCAATAAATAAATCTCTTTCACTGATCAAATAAGCCTAATTAGCTGAATGACATAAAGAATAGTGCTTACCGCTATTCGACTTGACATCATCGGGCCTGTGGAGGTCTGGCTTGGACGCTAACACTGACAGTGGGTGTTGCGGCGGAAGGCCGGCGGCCGCGGCAGCGCTGAGCCCTAATAGGCTGGCTGCCGTGCTGGGCGGAGCTCCGGCCAGTCCAGGGTGGGGCATCATGGGCAGGGGCGGACCACCGGCATGTGCGGCCGCCGCTGCAGCCGCTGCGGCCGGTAGCTGCTGGGCGTGCATTTGCTGCAGCAGGCGCGGAAGGTCCGGTCGCTGTTGCTGGAACAAGGAATAATAATAATAATGTTTATTGGAGTGCGTATCATTAACGATTTATCCCATAATCACGTGTGTGTCCTTATAATAATAATAATAAATGTCTTTATTAATCAGCATACATCAGTGAGGCGAAGTTTAGCCAAATGGCTACTCTTACACTTAACCTCACTGTGTACGAAAGAGTAACACAGTTAAACTCGATACACAAACAAACAATAGTAATAACAAGAAAAAGAAACAAATGCACACTTGAACTATTAATATAATAATAATAATAAAGTGTCATAAAAATAAAACAAACCAACAACTCAAACACTGAGAGACGATTGCATCTCCGATAGCTGTTTTCCAACTGATTTCTTAAAAGAGAGTAAACTTTCTTGTTTGTTAGCCGCACTGACTGAATTGTAAAGCTCAACAGCATTATACGTGAAAGATCTCTGATATAATGAGGTGTAGTGAAGAGGAATATTGAACTGTTCATCATGACGTAACCTTCTTGAAATTAAATTCCTACGCGGAACTAACTTATTTGCAAGGTAAATAGGTCTCTTGGTAACGACTGTTTTATGTACAAAAACCAACATATGAAACTTGAAAAGATTATTGAGCTTCAGCCACCCCAGCTCACAGATCTTGGATGTAACATGGCTATACCTACGAAGGCCGAAAACAAAACGACAACAACAATTTTGAATTTTCTGCAATCTGGTTTTTGTTATGGAGTCAAGACAAGGATAAAACAGTATAAAACAGTAAAGCAGCTTAGACATAACTAAACTTTCCACCAATTTCTTTCTAGTCTTGAAATTGAGAATAGAACGATTGGAGTATAGGAGTCTTAGGCTTGCATATGTAGCTTTAGATATATTACTGACGTGGTGATGAAATCTAAGATTTACGTCTAAAGTAACACCTAGACTTTTTGCATGCGTGACGAGTGGAATATGGTCATTATTTACCCTCAAATCAATCATCCTTTCAAAATGCTCATAGCTGGTTTTGGGACAGAACAACACCGCAAAACTCTTGGTAGGATTGAGCTTCAAACAGTTAGCCTTGCAATAGTCAGTTATATTTACCAGATCTAAATTTATTTTATACGAAGCTTGATCCACATTAGTAGAGTCAAAAGTGAAGGTCAATTGTGTATCGTCTGCGTAAGTATGAATACTACAAAACTGTAATACAGTATGCAAGTATAAACTAAATATAGTAAAGGACCAAGCACGGAACCCTGAGGAACACCAGAAGCAACATCGGCACTAAGAGAAACTCCTTGGCTTGTTCTTATTCGTTGCTTGCGATTATTTAAGTATGATTTAAAAAAGCAAAGAGGAACGTCAGATAGTCCGTAGTATTTTAATTTGGATAGAAGCATTTCGTGGTTAACCGTATCAAATGCCTTTGAGAAATCTAACAACACCAGCACAGTGTAAATATGATTGTCTAAGTTAGAGATAATCTCATCAGTTACGTGTAATAATGCAGATGTTGTGCTGTGACCACTACGGAAACCAGACTGACAATTTGGAAATATGTTGTACTCTTCAAAATATTTTACCAATTGCATATAAACAATTTTTTCCAATATCTTTGACAAGGCACACAATATACTAATGGGTCTCAAATCCGAATATTCTGTAGGATTATTATTCTTAGCCAGAGGAGTAGGAGTAATGACCTTGAAGTGAAATGTTGAGTTTATAAGATTGTTGTTCATTTGGGGGGATAGAGGGAGTTTACGCCGATGCGCCCTTGACAGACGTTAACCAAGTATTTGAGACTAGATGTGTCCAAGAAGTATAAAATGCAACTGTTTTCATATGAGAGAAAAGAAAAAATACATCAAAAACATATTAGAAAAGCTGAGTTGGGCACATTTTTGTATTATGTCAATAAACAAGTGACAGAAACCGACATTGAAATGAGCCAACAATGTGTGTTGACAAAGTAAAAAGGGTTACACGAATTGCCCCTCTTAGCGCCATACCAAGTATGGATAGTGCAGGGTTGCTCTCCATATAAGAGAATACTATTCCAGGTCGACATCCTTATTGCATAGCTGGACATGACAGTCATAATTGTCACTTTAGATTTAGATATTGTAACGTCGTCGTAACTGAGACTTGATTGTCGACGCTTAAGCAACGAGAATTACGCGACCGTGTGGTCGCGAATGTTCGACACGTCTGGAGATGAATCTGCCTCCATCTAGACCGCGTCCATGGAAGTTCCCGACTCAGCCTGGAAAACGCTGGAATATTTCTCGGCGCGTCGATAGGGGAATAAATACCCGTCCAGCTGGCGAAAGCACTCAGTCACAGTCAACAAGTTAGTTACAACTGTTTCGATAAATTAGTGTTAAGAACAATAAATCAGACTTTCAATAGTAAGAACGGTGTTTTCCGTACAATATCATTTACTCGAAGTAGCGGTGTGTTGCCTAAACGTTAAGGCATTTAACCTATGTGCTGTGGCTATGCTTTTAACGTCTGCTATATTATTTGAAATGTGTACAACAGACAGTTGATTGAATACTGATGGTGGTGACACTAACTATAGCACTGACTCGTGAATATTCTACCTTTTACTCTGACTACAAACACACGCCCGACTATAACTTGAAAAGTACTGCTCGAATTTGAATGAAATGTTCACACAGGGTTACTGCTATGTCAAGGACGGAAAAGCGCTGTAGGTTTTTTGGCTAGTGTTGAGAAAACGTCCTGATTTAACACCAATTCAAATAGTGTGCATATTGTTTGGGATCCTGTAGAACTCTTAAAACATTGTTATTTATTTATTTTTAGCACGAGATTAGTTTGGATGCAGTCCAGAAAATAAGCACCGATAACAAGAGCGCCGGTTCTTAAAAGCAGCGCGGGAGGAAAATTGGAAGAATGCAAGGAAAAGCCGGAGGTAATTTGGTTAAAAGTGTTGCTTGCACTTCTTCCTGAAAACGGCAAAAGAGATCGTTAGGTAAAACGGGCCGGAGCGAGGTCGAGCGAACACAACTGTGAGTGAATTTCCTCCAGGTTGTTTGCCGTTGCGGTTAAGGACGAACCCTCGTTGAGTGATTCCCTTTTGTTTATTTTGTTGTGTATTTAATCAAGTTGGCGTGTTTTTATGTGCTCTGCATTCTCAAAGCGCGGTGCGGAAACAGCGCGCTAGACAGATTGCGGTGTATTTTCGTGTTGGGTTTGCAGTCGCAATTTATTCCTTGTGTAGCGCGAGTACAAAAAAACCGTGTACGATTACTACAACATGAGTAAAAGCAAACCGGTTTGAAGGCTCCGTGGAGATTTCAACACAAGATTTAGAAACGGTCCTTGAGAGATTCTGAAAAGTAGCTTTTGACGAAGTTGTCTGGTGTATTTGCCCTTTTACTTTCCGCGCCTACTGGTGAGAAGGTTTCGTAATCGCGAAATGAGATGGGTAGTATCCAAAGTTTTCAGTGCGACGAGTGTTTGTTTTTTTTAGTTTTTTTATATGAAGCAGAAGTGGCAAATCGTGTGCCCCAAAATTCAAACGCAACAAATCGTGTCAAAATTGCGACTTAATAAGGTCTTATTTGAAATGTTGTCCCTCGATCTTCCACCATCTGTAAGGTTTTTTATACAAGACATTTCGATGGATACGTGATCATCAAGTGAACTATTGGAAACGTCGTGAGTAAAAGAACCTTATAAACCATGAAAGTCCGAGAAACAACATTTCAATTATCAACATTGTCTTTAAATTTCAAACAAAAGTTCTAATTTAACTTCTCCCACGCTCAGTTCTTATAATGTGACTCTGCTTGTCATGTAGGTAAAAAAATGACCTGTGTTCTCTGACGTTGAATAGAATCAAATTTCATTGATCATGATTCCTTCCGCAGGACGTATAAAAGATTTAAATTACGCATATAAGAAATATTTTTATGTTCAAACATGCAAGCGAAATGAGGATAAACCGGAATATAGATGTAAATAACCTATTTCAACTATTGCTTATTATGATACGAATTGCTATGTACCGACGTCTGAATTGGAGTTCCTCAAGGATCTAAACTGGGACCTATTTTAATTGAACAGGAAGTGTTATACGTTCAAGTAAATATCACACTGCACTTCATTATACAAATAAAAAACGTGATCATCGGAGAGTTATGGATGAAGCCGCTCAAGTTGAAGTTTCGGGTCATTTTGGAATAAATCGTAATGCCTCATTACGCCAAATTGTTGCTGCGACTGGTATTTCATTAGGCTGTGTACACACAGTTACTAAACTCCATTTAAAATGAAAATTAATCGAAGATGATTTAGATAAGCGAGTGGAGTTTTGTTAACAAGTGACTGCAGCAATTAATGATAATACCATTCATGTAAAGAATATCTGCTTCAATTTATCTAAATGAATTTGTTAATAGGCTTATGAAAGGTATTGGAACAATGAAAATCCTCATGCTTTTGTAGAAGAGCATACTAAGTACCCCAAAAAAATTAGGCATTTTAGGAAACAAAGTGATTGACCGATTTTTTATTAATGGAAATTTGGATGGCGACATTTATCTGGATATGTTGGAAAACACCATCAATCCGCTTATTACTGAAACCATTGAATCTTGATGAGGCAAGTTGGCGCTCCTCCTCACTACGTTTTTCCGGTTCGGCAATGGCTAGATGGCGAGTTTCTAGATAAATCGATAGGGCGAAGAGGGCCTATAGAATGGCCTGTTAGATCTCCTGATTTGACGCCGTTAGACTTTTTTCTATGGAGCCATTTAAAATCTATCGTGTTTACTCTCCAACCTGAAAGTTTAATGCATCATCGAAAGCTGCCATGTCATCCCACATCATGTTTTTGAAAACCTCCGCCAGGAATCTGAACATCACCTATATCATCGTTTGGCCAATAATAGCTAACATTTGGAATGCTTATTGAAATAAAAAGTGGTATTTTGTTTTCTATCTGAACGAATTAAGATAAACAAAAATTTTCCTAATGATCTGACGGAGTTTTTTGTTTTAATCAGTGGTTTTTAATAAATTTGTAGTGGGAAATTTTCAAATGAACACCCTGTATAATGTGGTAATCCGACAAACCTTTTGCAGGGCGATGTCAGATTATCAAATTTGTCGCATTATAGAGTACTGTCTCTACAGGGTGACTTCGAAGTTGAGTCATTTATTTTAACAGTGAGTAGATCTGATCAAAAGAAATGTTTTTTTTCTTTAACATTTTTCTGGTAAAATTAAAGTAACAAAGTTATAGCCCTTTAGAAGTTTGAGTACCGCCCTGTCTCAATAATAATATTATGTGCTCGTGTTTGGCAACAACGGATATAATCCGCCTTATCCATCGGAAACAAAAAAGCGAAAAAATCTGAAACGATGTTTTTACTACAATGTACAATTTTATTCAGTTGTATTTAGTCAATGTGTCAGTCGGTAACGCGTGAGTGAATAGTGGTGTTTGTTGCGTGGCTCAAACGAAATAAAAAATGGCACATGTTTCCGAAAATGCTGAATGTAGTACATAGGGCTCGTGAATCAGGTGACTTAAGACCTCACAGGAGAGGGCATGCCGGTGCTCCAAGACCGCACGATCAAATACAGGTCCGCACTGAAATACTTGTCGGGAGGATACATTATAAAACAAGGTAACATTTTTTTTTATTTTTTTTTATTTTTACACACATATTTTGGTTTATCTTCCTTCTACAATCATTATCTGAAAATTAATGAGTCAACTTCAAGGTCACCCTGTATAGTCAGTCGGAGTTTTTTTAATAAGAGTACCTCGTAATCCGACAAATTACAAATCAAAAAATCTATTTGTGCTACGAATCATACTACACAATTATGTATATGTATAAAGAACTTAGTAAATTAAACATCACAATGGAAAGCTGATATTTTATTATAAAAATACCATCGTTCGTACTATAGAACCAACTAACCTTATTTGTATTAGGAAGTAATTCTGTTCAAACAAATGTACATAATATGTACTGAGATATAAGTATTTCATAAGATATTACAAATAATAAACTAAAAATACAAACGAAAATACGTACCAATCAATTTATAGAGCATTGAATTTGTTTTTGTTTTAAGTTTTTAAAGCGAGCCTTAGACCTTTCCAAAGTAAAAGTTTGTTGTAGGAACGCATGCCACGATGACTTTTGAAACGTTCTAGACATCCCTTGCTAGCCACAATGCCATTTATTTTCATTATTTCCTTATAAAAAACTTTGCTTTTGTGGCCAGCTTGTACAAGCTGCTTTCAGCTCCGGATGTTCAGCTTTCTTGTGTATCTGCCTAACCCACAATCCGCTGTTGACAGATTTCAATTTTCTCTTTTTAAGGTCATAAACTGTAGATCGACCTACACCGTATTCGATTGCTAAGCTGTTGAGAAATTCATTACGATTAAAGAGATCCAAAATATCACTTTCTTCTTTGTCAGTGTATTGTGCTTTCGCTTCTGAGCTTGTGGAGGCACATTACTTCGCATGTATTTGTAACAAATAATGGATGTACAATAAACAACAATGAACGCTCGCTACGCTGCTATTATATGTATGCAGTCAAATTCAAAAACAATACGCGACAAGCACAATAATAGTGGTGGAGCGCATAAGTTACAACCTGTCCAATCATGGATTTATTAGCGAAGATTTACCCAAATTTTTATGTACAATCGACAGTGATATGTGTGTCGGATTATAGGGGGCGCTGGATTAGACAGCCTCCGGATTACTGCAGGTCCACTGTAGTTTGTGTATATTCCCACAGGTGATCACCCTGTAGCGCGCTAAACATGACACAAAGGCGCGATATAGATCGATAGATACCCTAAAACGACTTCGCAGAGAAATATGCACATCGTCGGGAAATAAAACATAACACTGGACAACACATTTTAGTTTTTTAATTGTATGTTGTGGGAAAAGTGCACTTCTTTTTTAATTTTGGGGCGCTGAATCCAAAAATGACAATGAAATAAAAAAATTAGTTGCGGTTTAGAAAAAAAACTTTTTATTTTTAAGGATATATTAAAAAAAGTAACAAGATTCATATACTTATAAGAATTACTATATGCGCTGTCTTTTTGCTGTTCTTTTATGGATCGTTTCTGGAGCATCTCTACCAAGAGTCCAACAGTAGTCTGCAAGCATGGAAGGATTCTACTTTCCCTGGTACCTTTTTTCCATTGTTGAAATATCCTGATGAAAACGTTCGCCGTGCTCATCACTTACGGCTCCGCAATTGTCAGGAAAAAAGTCCAGGTGTGAGTGTAGGAAATGTATCTTAAGAGACATATTACAGCCCATCTTTTGATAAGATGACAGTATATTTTTGACAAGGGTTTTATAGTTGTCAGCTTTTCTATTTCCCAAGAAATTAGTGACCACCAGGCGGAAATCATTCCAAGCAGTTTTTTCAATACCTGTTAAAGTGTTTTCAAACTGTGTATCTTTCAAAATATTTCGAATCTGTGGCCCAACAAAAATACCTTCTTTAACCTTTACCTCACTTAGTCTTGGAAATTTCTGACGCAGGTATTGAAAAGCTGACCCATCTCTATCTAATGCCTTGACAAAGTTTTTCATTAGGCCCAACTTGATATGCAGTGGTTGGTAATATTTTTTTTTTCGAATCTACATATGCTGTATATTTTTTTGACCTGGCTCTAGGAATTGACGAACAGGCCAGTTTTGTCTGGTGTAATGAAGTGCCTTTGCCCGACTGTCCCATTCACACAAAAAACAGCAAAACTTTGTGTAGCCTAGCTGCAGCCCAAGTAAAAGTGCAACAACTTTCAAATCGCCACAAATATGCCATTGGTGCGCATCGTATTTTATGCATGTCAATAGGTACTTCATATTGTCATATGATTCTTTCATGTGAACTGCATACCCTACAGGAAGAGATGGTAAAATATTTCCAATATGCAATAACACTGCCTTTAAACTCAATGTTGAACTGTCTATAAACAATCTCCATTCTTCTGGGTTATAGTTTATATTTAAAGCCGCCAGTAAGCCGCTAATGTTACTGCGGAAAACCAAGTTATTCTCCGTATTGAAAAATGGTTCTAAGTCTTTGTGGCGTTTACGAAAAACACATACCGAAACATCGTCTTCTAACAAGTTCCTCTGCTGCAGTCTTGATCCAAGTAACTCTGCCTTACATTTTGGAAGTTCTAAATCTCTTACAAGATCGTTTAACTCTGACTGTGTTATTTTGTGCGGTTGGTGGCATGACGTGCTCGGTATAAAATCAGGATCTCTTGACGTTGATGGCATATCTTCTTCCTGACGAATCACTCGATCGCCATGATCTGATTCGTTTTCTGATTCGCAAGTGTAGGATTCTGGGGGTTTTGGAATAGGATCTTCGTCACTGTGAGGCACAGGTCTCACCGCAGATGGTATGTTTGGGTAGTTAATAACCGATTTTTTTTTCTTAAACATACCTGTGGCTTGTCCAACACAAGGTACCATGCAAAAGTAAAAATCATTAATATGATTTGTAGGCTCTCTCCAAACCATTGGGACAGCAAAGCGCATAGACCGTTTTTTCCCATTTAACCAGCTCCTCAGACTTGAAGCACATGTATTACAGCAGATGTGGGGTGCCCACTGTTTGTCTTGATCACCTAGTTTACAACCGAAATAAAGCTGATATGCTTATTCGTGGAGTAATAGACCGTCTCTGAGACGCAAAAGTCACATCACCACACACGTAACAAAACTGATCTGGATTGTTTACACACGTTCGAGACATCTTGCATGAACGCTGTCAGCCAACTGAGGAAAAAATGGCTAATATAAAACAATATAATGTACACGTATGTATAGCGTAACACAATCATGCCGATTACATCATCTTTCCTTGCCGAATATAAAAATGTAGCACGTGCATTCTTGTGAATTATAGTATATTAACACTGTCACAGCAGGAACACATATAATTACCGTATCTCTAAAACTTGAACTAATACTGAAGAAATAAGTGTCATTCCGGTTTTAGCACATTAAAAATAGTAATATTTTGTTGATTTTATTTAGGATATTTTTTGGCTGTTGATCAGTGTAATCTGCAAAGGTGTATTACACGCCGCCTGTGGGGGTCAACACGTGTTACGCCATGTGATCACTCGGGCGAATCTCTCATCGTGGGACTTGACCTTCCTTCACTTTATTGTACTTTTATTTGCGCGGACTTTTGTTAATACACTTTGATACAGTCGTGACAATATAATAAGGTAGAACACCCCAATGGGGACGTCTCATGATTCTCGCTTGAAAATACCCCCGCAAATCCGTCGCCCTGCGATAAGCAACACCGAACGCAGAACAAACGCAGTCAGATGGCGAGCTGCAGCAATTTGGCCGAATTTGTGTGATGGATTTCATTAAGCTCGCGTTCACTCCCTCGTAAAATTCAGACTCTTCCGCTTAATTAAACCCCCCGAGGAGGAAAAAGTTTCCTTGCCAGCCGGTTTTTTAATTTGCCAACGAAACAGAATGAATAAATAATCGCTCAGACGCGGCCTGCCCGAGTAATTTACGGCGAGTTGTCTTTGCTCAAGTTAATCCGCGACGCCGTGCTTAAGGAGCTTAATAACAATGTCAAGATTTGCCGGAAAGCAGCAGCTTTACCATCGCAGGAGCTTGCTCGAGTGGATCTGTGCGTCAACGGTATACAAAGTAGGTGCAGCTAGAGGAGCTGATAATCGACGATTTGAACGCAATTTTAAAAATGTTTGTTGGTGAATTGAAGAATATGGCGTCAAATAGATTGACTCGTTACTTCATATGCCTTCGTGGAGGTTCCAAAGAAAAGGGATTAGTCAAGTCGTTCCGAAAGGCGGATTCGAATTCTGTACCTCAGAGCCAAACTAGGTTAAGTCCAAATAAGCAGTTTTGAGATAATTGTATTTGAACCAAAAACTACTTCACCTTCGGCCACCCAGGGTCATTCCCTTGAAAATTTTAAATGTCAAACGGTATCGAGTAAAAGCTTGTTTGAAAGGTCTTTCAAAGCCCTTTATTACATCTACAAAATCTAAAGTAGTTGCTCGTAATGTAAAGCCAATTGTTCAATACACAATTCACATCTACGAATGATCGAACGTGGTATAGCATTATTCAAATAAGGCCTTATTTCATCACATGCATTCCTGATTCTGTCTATTAGCATTTCTTTTGTGGTTACGGGAGTCTGGTACACTTTTTCTTTTAGAAATCCCCACACAAAGAAATCTAATGGATTTAAGTCAGGGGATCGTGGAGGCCAGGCGACTGGTCCTCCACGGCCGATCCATCTTTCTGGATAATTTTCGTCCAGCCAGTTTCTAACTATTCTCGAATAATGAGCTGGACAACCATCAAGCTGGAACCAGGCCATTCTTCTTAAATCTAACATAACATCATCCCACATATTTGCATGTTCAGCCTTTAAAAATTCCAAGAAGGTCGCAGCATTTAACCTTGCAGGCAAAAGGTAGGGTCCAAATAGTCGATTACGGTGGATACCAATCCACACGTTCACACTAAATCCATGCTGAAAATTTCTTTCCCGAACTTCATGCGGATTTTCATGCGACCAAATATGTTGATTATGAAAATTTACCACTCCACGTCTAGTGAAGCATGACTCATCGGTCCATAAAACGTTACTTAAAAACACCCTATTATTATCAGTTCTATCAAGAATCCACTGACAAAATGTGATTCTTCGTTCTCCGTCCCCTGGCTGTAGTCCTTGCACAGGTTGCAAATGGTAAGGATGTCTATGGTCATTTCTAAGAACACGGTGAACATGGCTTGCTGAAATTCCCAAGGCACCAGAAACTCTCCTAACACTTATGGTCGGATCTGTATCGCAGAATCATACGGATAAATCTGCGCTGACGAACATTTATGTTTTGATCTCTTTGGAGATTTCCAAAACCATTTTCAATTATTTGGCGATGCACTCTTACAAATACTGAGCGAGTTGGATGTCGTCTGTTTGGAAATCTTCGTGCGTATTCTCTGGCTGCTTCTGCTGCGTTTCCATTTACAAAGCCATACACAAAATGAATATCCGCTAACTCTTGATTGGAGAATAAAAATGGCATTTTTATAAAACTTACAAAAAAAAAACAGGTAAAAGAAACGAAATTTCGTGCATTCACAATTGCAAAAAACGTTTCAGGTTTCAACAGACAACAAAACTAACTGTCAACTAATTGACGTTTAACCTTATTCTGCTTTCAATTTCAAAAATATTTGCAGGCACAGCCTACTTCTAAAAATTATCGAGATACTGACTTTTTAACGTTATTTTATCATAAATAATTAAAAATGCATCGAACCTTCAAAATCGAAATATCTCAAAAACGGCTAACTATAACGAAAATTCACAAGAGAGCTTTTTTATGTTGAAAAGTGCGAAGAATTATTTTTTTTATTCAAGAAGCAAAAAATTGCACTAAGAAAAAATTTTCATTTTAATACACTACAGGTACAGTAGAGAGCGCCCTCTAGCGGCTACAGTAAAACTATGCCCATGGTTCGTTTTGTCGTACCAAAAAACCCTTGTATACCAATTTTCACTGTTATACGTATACATCAAATATTGTTCGAAATATTTTAAAAAAACTATTTTAGAAAGTAAATTTAAACACCCTGTATTTCGGAAGCCACGCATTTTTCGACCCATGTTTATATAGTCTTTATGCATTAATTTTAAAAGTTCTATCGAATCTTAAAGTTATGCAAAACCAGCACAAAGGAGGAAAGTGGATTCCAGCAGGAAATAGGATGAAGCCAACCAGCGGAAATACGTATCGCTCGGGTTACCTATCCTCTTTTCTGCTCGAATCCACTTTCCTCCTTTTTCCTACTTTCCTACTTTTTGTTATATAAATTTGTCCGCATGATCATTTTCTCTTTATATATAACAAAAAATAGTAAAATAATGGGCAAAATCCGCAAAGAGAAGGAAAGTGGGTTCGAGCATAAAATAGGATAGGTAACCCGAGCGATACGTATTTCTGCTGGTTGGCTTCATCAGGCCCGAAACGAGTGCACATATGCAACTACAAAAGTAGGGACAAAATCACACACATATCGATTTTATACGTAACACCCCTGCGGATCCTTTTCATTCTTAACAAATCAGCCACGCGGTTTAACTTTGTAATACGAATACAATCACCTCTAGCACAAAGTTACCCTGTACGGGTGGAAAGAAATGCTCTTCAATTTTGCTCGGTCTACAATTTCCGCTTACATCATATACACCATCTTACATCTGTATTCAAACCGAATCCTCTCTCATATCGTGCACTCGTTGTCTCGGCGCGCTTCTGCCGGTTATACGTGAACGCGTTACCACGTCGCGAATTTACTTAGAACCGTTTCCAAGGGATTTAACAAACGGGATCCGCAATCTACTCTTGGGTCGCGTAATGCCGCTGCTGCTGCTGCCGTAGCAGAGAGAGAAAAAGCGAAAAGGATAATTCGGTTAAAAGTGTTCCAGCTTTCCCGGCAAGTACGGGGCGAGCAAAGAGGCTCGTTAAAGAAAATGGGGCGGATGTGATGGGAAGGTTAAGGGCAAGCGAAGAGGCACTTCTGCCAACTCAGTGGAAGAGGAAGGAAGTGTTTCCGGTATGAGATTACAGCATTAGAAATCTAGGGCATGACGCAAATACTAACTAGATACTGTCGAGTGCGTTTTTCAAGTTATAATAAACAGTTGGATTTGATATATCACTCATATCACCCATCCCAAGTACAGCTGAAACTTGTAGACTTTATGTTAGAATGGAATAAAATATTTCCTCCTGACAGCGAAGTAGTAGTGGAGTATAGTTATACAATGAACAAGCAGAGTACAAAGCAAACAATTTGGAGTTGCTCATACCTAACAAATAAAAACATTTAAAAGACATAGACAAACTATTCATCTACAGAGTAAAAATGGTTTTCTATAAATAATAATAATAATATTTATTCACTCAACGTACAAAGAGAACAAACAACATGCATAAATATATACATATATAAAATCAAAACAGGCCCAATAGAAGGCATTGCCTGTACATGGACCAATAATTTTAAGTTGCAACTCTAGAATGCAAATGACAAAAAAGGACAAAAATTAGCTACAGTAGATTATGTATTTACTTGATGTTTGTATTTATGAGTTTATGAATTTCAGTCCTAGATATAGAATGTAGCCACTTTTTTAAATTTCTTTTGAAACAATTTCCGAAACGTAAATCTTTTAAGTCTTTAGGTACAATTTGATAATATTTTGGCGCTAAACTCTAGATTTATGCGCCTGAGGAACTACTGTACCACGAATTTTCAACCTTGTGTAATGATTATGTTTGATTTTTTTGTCGTTGTTTACAAATTTATGGTAGTGAGTGATACTGTGTAAGAAATAAAGCTGTCTTATATCATACATTCGAACATCTGCGTATAATTTGTCAGTGGGGGTTTCGGTTTTTTTATTCATCATTTTTAGAATACTTTTTTGAAAAACATCTAAATCTTAGATATGTGAGGAACATGCAGCTCCCCATGCTAATATACCTTATGTGGTATATATATTCCTAAGGTATTAAATTTTGTAGAATACAAATCTAACTTTCATTAAAATATAATTGATATGGATGTCCCAACGTAAGTGAGGATCCAAGACCATTCCAAGGTATTTTATGTTGGGCACTCTATTAATTTGCATTTTTTGATCATTAATGTTGAAGGAGAAATATGGGTAATTTGGCAGATGTCTAGCATAAGATCCAAATGGTAAAAAATGTGTTTTAAGTTAATGCTTAATTTTCTACTGTTAAACCACCGAATAATTTTGATAAAATCATTTTCAATTATATTTTTTAGATCAGACCAGTCTGTGCCTTCATATAATATTGCAGTATCATCTGCAAAACTGGTTATTTTGTCAACACAACTCATTTGGAAAATATCATTTAAATATATATTGAATAACAGTGGACCTAAGACACTTCCTTGTGGGACACCACACTTAATATACATTTCTTTACTAAACGATCCTGATATCTGCACAGATTGTGGCCGATTTGACAGATAATTTTCGATCAGTGAGTACGCGTTTCCTCTGAAACCAATTCTGTCCAATGCTTCTAATATAATTTGTGTTTAACTGTGTCGACAGCTTTCTTTAAATCAACAAAAATGCACATTGAACGAATTTTGATATCAATTTGATTTACAATTTTAGCTATTGCGTCCGATGTAGCCTTCCCTTCTGTAAATTCATATTGATTTTCACTTAAAATTTTGAATTTTGTGAGGTATCGATCATTCTAGTAGATAAAACTTTTTCAGAAACTTTTGTTACACTGAATATTATTCCTATTGGTCAACAATTGTTAACATCTGTTTTTATTCCTGATTTATGTATCGGTACTATATTACCTTTTTTAAAATTGAGGGTTATATGCCAGATTCAAAGCATTTGTTGATTAGGTAAGTGGGTGGTTCTGTTATGACCTGGGCTATAATTTTTAAAAGCTCGCTTTTAATACCGTCGAACCCAGGACTTTTTTCGATTTTATCCAAAATAAATGAGTCCAAAGATCTTTTTGGAAGTTGAGTATTGGGCACATTTGCTTGTATATTACTTTTACAGACTGCACATTTTGCGTCGCTTTTATATGGCAGCGTGTTATACAACTTTATAAGCATAACGTTTGGTCCCTTTGACGTGAGTGCAAGGTGATCCATTGGGAGCTATTCAGGTTTGGATGCAATTTGTATATGCAGCCAGTGTTCCCATATCGAAAGCTACGTTGCCAGTCTCATCACTTGATTTACAGACCTCGTATGTTAATTTTAAGTATATGTATCGTTTTTTAAGCAGTAGCAGTTTTACTTTAAATTTTTCTTAACAATTTTTTTCTGAATACGCGGAATGATGATCCAATAATGTAACGAAATTTTAATTTACACATTTTTTGAATCAGTTTTCTGTGATTTTACATTATTTGCTAACAGAATTACCTCGCTATGCATTCATAAGGTGATTTTTTAATTACAACTTCAACTTTTTAAATTCGAACGCTATTATTAATTTATTTATCAAATTCACATACTCTCTTCTGAAATACAGATTTGCTAGTTATGTTACTATTACAATTTTGCGGATGAAAATCTATACTGCCTCCAGTTTCGCAGTTGTGATAATTACTATTTAATTTTGTGAAGTTTTCAAAACGTTGTGGTAATAAACGAATTTTTAATATGAATATGAAAATGAGAACTAAATAACATAATTTTTTTTATTTGTTTTTATTGGAAATGTTTCTCATAGATTTATTTTGTAGAATTTGTTACTTTGAAAATATTTTTTTCATTTGCTGTAAAGAAAATAGTTGAACAATAGAAAGAAGCGAAGAATTATGATGTTATACACACGTTTCTTGGAATACATACTGATATTACAGGTAATTTATCTTTTTTGATGGTGAAAATTGCAGTCGAAATGACAAAGTTATCCTATGATTATTGCTATTTAGCATAAAAGCGCTGCACCGCTTGAGTGCTTCAAGTTGGCTGAACGCTCCCAATGAACCATTAAAATTTCAAGCTACCAAATTCAGAGTGCTCTGTTACAATTTGGGTGTCAAGGGTGGGGTTGAAAAAGAAACCCTTCCCGACGGCGCTTGTTCAAAAAAAAAGGAAGGGGATGTGTTGGAAAAATTAAGAGCAGGGAAAGGGGTACCTACCCCCGTTTCAAAAAAGCCTTTCTGGTAAGAACAGCATTGGGAATCTATGGCATGACGTTCGCAGTAAGTACTAAGTCTTTTTACTAGTCTTCAGTGTTTTGGACGACCAGTCGAAATAAACGGCTCTTTGGGAAAACTAGGCCATCCATCGGAGCCGGATGAGCGCTAGACGCTTTTGTTGTGTGTTTAATTCTGTCATAAAATTTAAAATTGAATCATAATAAACAAGAGAACATAATCGTGGATCACTAGTAGCTCTAATGCCTCCGACCTGAAGCAGTAGAGCCAAGGTGGGTGAAGCACATTTTGGTGTCAGCTTCCGGTAGATCAAAGAGGTTCATTTAACAAAAAAAAAAACAGTTGTAATGGAAAGATGGGCGCTACTCGTATCATTTTAACAAAAAATGAAAGATTGCAAACGGGGGTTTGTTTTGAACAGGAGAACCTTATGGTATGGTTTACGTGGTCCCTCATGAGTATGACATTAATCTATAATGGTTTTCAAAATCAATCATACTTCTAGATCGATATGCTTCTGTGATACAGATACAAATAAGTTTATTTACGCATAAATACACTGGTTAAAATCAAACTTACGTAAATAAACTGAAAAAACCCACAGAGTGCGTGCGAAAATTAATGATGAAAATGCTTGATAATATACCATATTATACAATATAGATATACAAACAATACGTAATACTCATTCATAAGAAATGGTTTTGATATGTCGTATCTCTTTTGTTTCAACTTTGAGTTTGTTTCTATTCGAAATGTATTTTATATGGGCAGATAAAGTATTGTACAGTCTCCAGAAAAAGGTGTTATTTTAATGTCGTTGATCTCATTTCTTGTATGGTATAAATGATTCAGTGGAACCAAACATTTTCTGTGTTTAAACTGAAATACAACAATCTGGTAGAAAAACAGTGGTCTAAGATCAAATAACTTTGTTTCGGAATACAATAGGCCAGGTGGATATTAAACTGTTTCTTCAAATATCATTTTCAAAAATTGTTTTGGATTATTTTTAATTTGGTTAGGAAATGCTCCACTTAAATAGTATTGTAAAATCCCATGACAAAGGTTATACAGGGTGTCCGCAAAGTTGGGGTTTTCCTTTTCAGAAACAACTACCCTTGAAATAACAAAGGTAATGTGTAGTGAAACGAGGGCGACCAAGTAAAAAAAAATAAAGGAAAAAGTACTCACTCTCCAGTTGACGAGAAGGGCTAAGTACGTCTCTGCCCTAAATCATACCGCTCCAACAGAAAATGAAATCAGCTGATGCGCTACCGAGCAGACGCAGAAACCACATTGATTGTCTTACACTTAATGGCACATCTTCTAACAAGGAAGGCAAAATGTTTCGTAAAAAGTCTAGGTATTGCATCCCGTCCAATCGATTTGGGAGAATAGATGGTCCAATGAGCATACCGTTCACCATGCCAGCCCAAACATTCACCGAAAATGTTTGTTGAAAATGTGCCCGACGGACAGCGTGCGGATTTTCTACTGACCAAACATGAGTGTTGCGAAAGTTATTCACCCCATTACGCGTGAACGTAGATTCGTCTGTCACCAATATGCACTTCAAAAAGTCCGGATTATTGTCATGTTGATGCAACAACCACTCACAAAACCGCACTCTTGCTGGAAAATCGTCAGGTTGAAGGGCTTGTACACGTTGGACGTGAAACGGATACAGCCCCTCTTCACGCGGCGTTTGCCACACTTTAGTTTTTGATACTTGCACTTCTCTAGCCACGTCTCTTGTGCTTGTTGAGGGATTCTCGTCTACGCGATTACCTCTACACGCGTGACCGTATCCGTCGGTTGAAGGTTGCATACTGACCTGACACACTGACCCCGACCCAGTTCTGTCGTCGG